GTTGACATTCACGCATCACTGTAGTGGACATTAGTTAATGGCGACTTTCAAGGAATCATTCTTATTGTGGGAAGGTTGATCAGTCTTCCGTTCAACAAAACCCCACATGTAATAATCAAGGCGAATTAGCTGGCTATATTTTTTTGTGTAATGCGGTAGTGTAGATTGGCCGCCATCCAATGTTGGGACACCACAGCTTTGTGAGCAGGTGCAGAGTCCTGTTAAAGCACACACGTCCGGCAGGCACATAAAATGTCAATCTACTGCATTACAGCTGTTTCCAGCACTTCAGTGTTGCAAGCGGCATTCAACCGAAAACCCTGTTGATAGATGTGGTGTGACATTCTTCACTACTTACCACTCCTAAAGCCATCCGAAAAGCGGGAGAATTGGTGTGCAAAACATGGAGGACATAAAAAGAAACCGCACATAACATGCTGTCATTTCCTTGGTTGACCTTTGATCCTGGTCTGATAGTTTTCCGTATGAAAAAAAAACAACCCTGAAACAAGAGAGCATGTCAGGCTCTTCTGTGAGTTTCAACTTTTTCAGTAATCGTTTCCTCTGAGCAATCTTTGTTCCCTTTACTCGTCACCTATTAGTTGTACAGAATGTTATCATAGACTACACTGCAGATTGTGCCTTCAGACACGTGGAGATCTTTGGCAACGTACTTCATGCAACAATAAGGTTCTTCATCTGCAGTACAAATGGTGGTGTCTTGATACTGTCCGAATGCTGAGAATGGTTTTTGCGCTTCGCTACAGGCAATGCATCGATGGCGGCTTCCAAATCCGTCCGAAATTTGTGCACAAACGAGATGGTAACTTCCCCAAAAAGTGCAATCTAACTTCATTTCATACGTTCGCTGGTAATTCGTCATTGATACTCTGAAAAGTTAAAACACAGTGATTGATTATAGGCTCACAATCACATGTCCTCAAATGTTACGAACCATATATATATATATATATATATATATATATATATATATATATATATATATATATATATACTCATCCACAGATTGTTTCGCTGTATCACAAGTAGACGTCTGATTGACATCTAGGCCGAAAGGAAGGAATTTTAACTTTTTTCTCTATATGAAATACGCCAGCGGTGAAATCAATTCATACTTGAAGAGTAATGTTTAATAGCAATAGGAGCCGCTGTTTTTAAAATCCCCTTCCTTAGACGGCTCAACCGGATTTCCGGGTGCGTATACAGTCATCCACAGACAGACACATCCCCGGTGTGGCTAGACGTTCGATTGCTTCAAGCCGGGATCGAAACCCGACTGATTTGACATCAGTCAGATAAATTAACTGCAGGCCATCTTCGCACGGCAGAATGGAAGGGGATTTAAATTTTTCTTCCAGCTGATATACTAATACGCACTAAATGATTGAGCGAGCTCGTGTATGTTCGTGGTAGCGATAAATAATATGTTGAATTCTTGTATATCAGTTATGTAATAAATATATTTGATAGTCCATGTCATTTTATAATCATATAAAATGTGTCACATGATTATGGGACGCCCTATATATATATATATATATATATATATATATATATATATATATATATATATATATATATATACATTATATTAGGTAATTGCACCTACAATGTCAATAAAATAATTTAAACCATACATCGTTGAAACCACTATAAACATCGACTAACATGAAATTTAGTAAGCAATACTGGTTGAATACGCGTGCTATTCAATATAACATACAGGCTTTCATGTCTGATCAGTACTTGTTGACAGCACAGATATATTATATAATATGTATCGAAACAAATGAATAAAAGGATACACACATTAAAATTAATAGAATATATTTCATTGTAAATCTCCATAATATTGTAAGCAGTTTTACCGATGCCGTAAGAGGCCTACAGAAACTCCTCAATAACAAATTATGATTTAAATTAATAGCGTTAAAAATATTAAACACAGAGTCGGTAAAAACTTCAAAGTTAACTCAATTTAAAAAAAATATCATATATAATTAATGTTTTAGAAAACCTTTTGAATCTAATCTTTCACCCTAATCGAAACACGAAGACGCAAGGGGGTTACTGCGTGTTTGAGAATATGAGAAAAGAAAAATCACTGTTAAGCTGCGAAAACAATAAAGGAACAAGAAAACAGAAGATCAAAGTTTTTTGGGAGCAAGAAACTGAAAGAGATTTTCATAAGCGAAAAGTGCGATAGAAGAAACTCTTAGCCTAGAACTTATGTTTACGTCTTGACATTTCAACACTAAAATTGAAAAAAAAAAACGTTTCAGTGCATGATGCCGTCACTCATCCGTGATTTTATTCAAGGTTAGTTTTAATAATTTTCTATTAGGCATTGAAAGATGTACTAGGTCCGAGCGGACATCAATAAGAATTAAAACTAATTGAAAAATCTAGAAATTTATGAAAAATAATCAGTTGGAAAATTCTTCCTGAAACTGAAAACTCAGGTTTTACAAGAAAAAAAAAGCCCTGCCCAAATAGCACGAGAGCAAGGATTTGAGAAACACCTACTGGAAATTGTAGCACTTACCAAGTATAAAAAATAAAAATAAACACATAGATTAATTTCTAAGGAAACTCAAACAATATAAAAGAAAAATAAGAAATTCAAACCGGTGATAAATTCACAGAAATAATGTCACAGAAATGTCACAACCATACCTAAGAAAAAATCCACAACTTGCAGTTGCGAATTGCATATTTAGTATAAATGACCCCATTGTAGCAGATTTTAGAACCAGACTTATTTTTATGAATAATTTCCATGTCAGGAGATTTTCAGTATTCACGCTGTCTTCAGGTTTAGGGTTGGGGTTTACGGTTAGGGTGGCTCCGGTTAGGGTGGCTCCGGTTAGAGTGGCTACGGTTAGGGTGGCTCCGGTTAGGGTGGCTCCGGTTAGGGTTAGGATCAAAATGTTTATTACAGAAAGACGCAGAAACAGAGCTAACATTGTCCTATTTCATTTTTATCGCTAGCTTTTTTCATGTCACTTTTCTATTCGTGAATTTTTCCTGTGACATTTACTTACGAATTTTTTTTTCTTTACTGGGATTAATTAATATGCGCTGATAAAACAAAGATGTTTTGTTTTAACGACTCCAAAGGGAATTTGAAGACAGATCACCGATTTTCAATTTCGAAACGTTATCCATTTTACCACCTTCCCATTCAAGCGAAGAGCACCTTGTATTAACAAGCGGGTAATCATCTTGGTACTGACCAGACTCGGCCTTGTTTTGCTTCGTTTATAGTACGAGAAGCGGAGGTCAACGTGATATGGCCGTAAGCTGATGAAACAATGGATATGTATATATAAAATGAAGACGAAGACTATAAAACACTACATGACAGTGTCCCAAAACCTGGCAACAATGCAAAATCGTATATGAAATGAAGTTAATTCAGAAGCTAAAGAAACCACTAATAAAGTGAATTTAGATCACTGAATAAATATACTAAAACACAAGCTTACGCAACAATTAAAAGCCATACACATACATTTAAACCAAACAACCATGTAAACAATAAAACCAGTTAAGAACAAGATTAGAAAGATATGCAAAAAAATACTAGATAAAATAAACCAAGAGAAGAAATGGGAATAAACCAATGAGATCACACAAATGATGTTTAGTGAATTAGTGAATATGTTCACGTTGTATTAGTTAAACTACTTGAATACTTTTCATCATTGAACTAAGTCCATTCATAAGGAAAATGATAGTAAAAATAAATATTTATTGAATAATATTAGTGTTTTTTTTTTGTTATTATGATACAGATTTATCGATGTACCTACGTACAGGAAAAGCAAATCGTGTTTATAGACAAGAAGAAAATGCGTTATTTTCTTATGTTCTGATAATATTTGAATAAAAATAAATACTGAACAATTTCGGAAAAATATTTTCTTGTCTTCTTTCACTTCACTTTAATTTTTCTCTCTCGCTCGCACCTACTTTTATCATCTTTTTTTAAGTCTTAATCTCGCTACATTTTCAAGTTATTTGTTTTTTAAATTTCATGAATTACTTTTTAGTGTTCAATTCGTCCATCATGCTTTTTTCATTCTTCACCTTTTCTTAAATTTAATATTCTTCTTCTTTCGTTTATTTTCATACCTTCTTTCTTTCTTTTTTCTTTTAAATCTTTTTATTTAATTGTTTTTCCTGCTTTCTACTTTTCTTTCTTTCATTTGTTTTACTTTCTTTTTATTTTGTTGTTTTTTCCTGCCTTCCGCAATTTTCTTTCATTTCCTTGTTTTTCCACCATTTCTCAATTTTGTTTATGCGTTTGTTTTGCTTGTTTGTTTGTTTCTTTGTCTTCCAAACTATTTATTTCATTGTTTTTCCTGGCTTCATCAATTCTCTTTCTTTCTTTCTTTCTTTCTTTCTTTCTTTCTTTCTTTCTTTCTTCGTCTGATTAATTAATACCTTTATTTTTTATTCTTTTTAATGTTTCCTTCTTTCTTTTCCTTATTTTTATTCATTTCGCATATTCTTTGCTTTATGTTTTCTTTCTTTCTCTAATTCAACTCGCACAACCGTTTCTTTACTTCCGGCTAAAATGCATGTTTTATTTCAATCTTTTGATGTGATGTTGGTTTACGTCTGTTTTGCCGACTTTTGTACAACAATTGCAAGTTAAATAGAATCGATTTAACGGTGGCTCTAGTGGCGGAGCTGGTTGAGTTGATCGTCGGTGAAAAAGTTTGGATGAGAGCGAAGCTGAGAGTTATGCGTTAGCACAATTGGACGGAATAGAAAAGAAAGCGTGGAAAATTGGAGGAAAAACAGAAGGAAATAGGGAAGAAGAAAGAAATGGAAATAGACAAATAAAAACTGAGAAAGAATGAATTGCTGAGTACGTGAGAGTAATGAAGAAAATAAGATTGAATGCGTGAAAACATGAAAAGCAATCAAGGAAGAAAGAAAAAACATTGTTAAAAGGCAAAAATATCATTTTAACGAATGAAAGAAAAAAGAAAGAAAGAAAAAATGACTTTGAAGGTAGAAAAAGTCTCGAGGAGAAAACAACAACGAAAGAAAGAAAGAAAGAAAGAAAGAAAAAGAGGAAGACGCAAGTGAATAAGAAAGAAAATAATAAAAAAAAAGGTTAATGAACGGATGAAAGAAAAAGTGAAATAAACTATTGAATATGAAAGCCTGTAATAAACAAAGAAAAAAACAAAACGAAAATAGATAGAACGACCGACGTAATGAATGAGAGAAATCAGAACTAAAAATGAATGAGTGACAGAAAGCAGAATGAATGAATGAAAGGGGGAGCAATTAAGCGGGTTATAAAACCAAGAAGTAATGTATTAGTCAAACGAGCAAAAATAAAAAAAATAAAGAAAGAATGGAAAAAAGAAAGAATAAATGAATTAATCAATGAAAGAATGAGTTAGAAAAAAGGGAATAAGAAACAAAGAATGAAATAAAGAAAGAAAAGAAAAAGAAAGAAAAAAGAAAGGAAGTACGAAAGAAAGAAAGAAAGAAAGAGAGGAAAAAAAAAGAATGAAAAGAAAAATAAGGGAATTACTTAAAAAATCTGAAAAATGGATTAGACAAACAAATAAAAATAAAAAAGGAAAAAAAAGGAAAGAAAAATGAATTTTTTGCAGTATAAAAAGGAGAAAAGAAATGAAAAATGGAATAGTAATAGAAAAATAAAGAAGAAAGAAAAGTGATGGGAATAATTAAGTTAAAAAAAGAAAGATAGAAAGAATAAAACCTTCAGTAAATAAGAAGAAAAAAAGAAGAAAACTCAAGTGAACAAAGAAAAAAGAAATAAATTTCCATGTAGGGAGGTTATATGAGAAAGAAAAAATACTTCAAGAGAGAAAAAAAAGAAGGTCTGTTGGTCTGTAGTGCGGAAGTCAGTCGGTAGAAGCGGGCATTTATGACCAACCACTGTGGTATGTGAACGGTTGCACTGGTTTTTCTATGGAAGGCTATGAGCGGCAATTTCTTATGAAAGAAAAGTAGCCAAAATTGGGGAAAACTGGATAGGAGAGTTGAGGGAGGATAAAGAACTTCAGATATGAACTCTCCTCCCATAATCACACACAGACACGTGAACACGCACAGAGACAGGTACAGACGCACGCACACATATATGTGTGTGGGTGGAGGGTCAAATGGGTTGGCAGTTGGTGCGATAAACAGAAGAGCTGCATCTATATGGTTACAAAAAGAAACTGCCAATCAATAGACACTGCCTGAAATCCTTTGCCATCTTTTCAACACAAGTGTCTATCCAGCTGCGCATCTGATCTTCCACAAATCGTGTAGAATATCGCCGGCAGAATAAAACAGGCCGCGCCAATTGAAGATCTTTTATCATCGACTCATCCTGCCACTTACTTAATCATATTATACGCTCTTTCTTTCTTTCTTTCTTTCTTTCTTTCTTTCTTTCTTTCTTTCAGTCTATTCATATCTATCTATCTATCTATCTATCTATCTATCTATCTATCTATCTTAGCGATCTGACAATGTAGTTTGTCTTCTAACTTAATCCATTTGTCTCTCATTATTGATAAATCCCTTTCTTTCTTCCTCTCTTTTTCTTATAACTACTGCTTTCTCTCTCTAGCTCAATCTACATATATCGCCCCATCTCTTTGTAGATAATTTGCATGTGTTGTAATGGATAGCCTTTTGGAATGAGAAATTGGAGAGCCGATTTCGAATGCTAGTTGGGTTCATTACCTTTCCTTACGTGTAAATTCCCTTGGAAAATGTATGAAGCAATCTACATCCCTCAACTATGGGTTGAATAGTAAAACCTTTATTTGCTTTGGTGAAATGAGAAGAAAAAGTTGAAAACTTTAAGAGCAAATCATGCAGCAACTATTTCTTAAAAAACGGGATTTAAAACAATGTTCTTTTGTTTCTTTTTTAAGAAAGATGAGGTATTCTTTCAAATAAATGTTTCATAGATGACAGGTGTTTCTTATTTTGGAAGAAATATTTATTTTTCCCAAGAGTCTAACTTTTTAATATTTCACTACGTAGAATCTAGGTACCACAGAGGAAAGTTCATCAGAACAATTACCATGAAAATATTTATAAAATAAACGCAGCTACATTACGGTGGTAGGAATGTAACTGAAGCCGAGATGCTAGGTCAGGATCAATTACATTGCAGATTCTGCTATGGATTTTAGCAAACATCTTTAAATATATAGCAGGTGCACCAGCCTATATAACACAACAATATTTAAAGAATGGACGATTGGTAGACGTATAAATACGTAAGATAGACACTTGCGAGAAAAATTGTTTAGCACAATACAGTGAACCAACTTTCCTAGCAGCGGGCCTAGCAATTGGTTCAATGCAATCTTTTCCCTTCATGTTTGCGGAAAACGTTAGCCCAAGAAACGCTCAACGAATCGCTCCTTTGGAGGTTATCATCCGCGATGCTGATTGAAGGCAGATACGTTTCTCTCAGATGATTAATAGAGAGTTCCTTCGTTTTGGAGGTGGTAAAATAAAAATATAACGCAATAATTCCGATAATAGCAACATTTTAGCACTACTGTAAATAAAGGTTTATGAAGGACATTAACATCTGTACTGAAAAGTTCAATAACAGTTATTGGACACAAGAACCGTATTTTTCCTGAAAAAATTTTAAGCGAAAGATTTTATAAATTTCAACCGAGAGTAGTATAGAATGTTCACTCAATGCAGGCGTATTATTTCCTGTATGGAAGCTACTATTATCAGCATAACCATTACTATTCATTCGTTATTGCCAAATGATAAGAGTGGTGTATCTGTTTTCTTTCCATGGAAGAACAGAAAAGCGTCTTTTCAAATTTGCATATGTTTATTTCAAGGCAGGTTGACCTACGCAACACTTCTACTTTTAGAACAATTTTAATACGCTGTCTCCACTGCTAAAGGTCAACCGGCTGCACATAGCACGTTACCGCCAAAAAAGCATAACATCCTCGCCGCAAGTACTCCACACAGCAAAACTACTACATACAGAAATTCACTACGCAAACTATATCCTTGATAATGATAATAAAACTAGCCGAAACCAACCACAATTTACATTAAAAGTTAATCTGGTTCAACGTATTTGAGTAAATATTTATTTTTATGCTTACATGTAACCATAAATGATTTTTTTTTTGGTTCTACTGAAAATCCTTGGCAATTTCTTTTCTACCAGCATCGAATGATTTTAGGCCATATAAAATACAAAACAGCACTGTTCTCTCTAAATATTTCTGACAATTAAAGTATAATGGTAATAAACCTATAATCACGTGGGATATTGTACCAAGTGCCAAATCTTACAATGGGAAAGGCAATAGATGTAACTTATGTCTTGTTGAAAAATGAATTACCTTAAAACATTTAAATAACTCTAGAATTGTTGGTTATCTTTCATTCGTAACCCCATGAATTTCACTTTTTGCCTTTTCGTATGCTCATACAACACCACACAGTAGCATTCTACCTTTAGTGGCTCTTGACTCTTAGGTGAACGTAAAAAAAAAATTGAGTGTTAGGAACACTCAAGAGAGAATATCATTGAGAACCTCGTAAAAAAAGTGAGAATATTAAATTGGTAATGAATGGGAAAATTAAATAAGCCAGCAAGAAAATAAATTAAAAATCGTGTTTACGAATATAGACAGAGGAAACTTGAATACTGGCTAAAACCAAAAGAAGCAACGAAGCATTTAAAAAAAGATGAAGTTGGGTGAAAATCTACATTGTATTTCTCAACCGTAACGTATTTTGATGAATGCAGAGTGATATCCTATTGACATGATGGCTGAATTCGAAGTTGAAACCTACATTGAAATAGTTAAGCAATACGCGTTAGAAGACAACAAAGGGATGTGGAATAATGCGTTGGACAAATGTTTTAGGTTGTAAAATAATAGGTTAATTCAAATGTGTTGACAGTTCAAGATAAATGCAGATAATTATTGTAATTTCTTGAACAAAACATATTTACGTGGTAAATATCACTGCCCTAAATAGTTGAGTCGTCACTCATCTTGAAATTAAAATTACTCCCACTAATATAGCTGGAAATGTCTACGATGGAAATTTCGACTTATTTCGTAGCACTTTTAATTATTATAGAAATTGTTAAGACGAAATTGTTTTTTATATACATAACTATGATGATTTTCTAAGGGTAGATGTAGCACAAGTCCGAAAGTATGGGGTACCATTCATTGACTGGACAACTAGTAGTTCTGTCGGATGAAATTTATAAAATCTTGTTCTTAAAATAATTTTTCAGGAAAATAGGTTTCTCGGGCCCGTGAACTGTTATCGTTCTGTACAATATTGATGGGAGCCCCCTTGGTAACATTTTGTTTGATGTAGTATGCAGCGTCAACATCTTGATTATGATACTCTTTTCTCTTCGTGCTGCATGCGATATTCATTTTAATTGTTGCCTTTTGAAAGTCCTCAAGTGATATGTTTTCTGTTATCCTGTACAGTTCTTTGTGATTCTGCAGCGCCGTAGCTGTGAAGTACCGAATTATAGAAGTATTGTTTAAGATGGTGGTGACCTAGTACTGGTGTGGAGTGTGTTTCCTTGGGGTTCCCAACGAATACTTTTGTATTAGTGTTGGTTGGCGCTGACACGTGTGGCGTCAAGAATAACTACTGTATACACACCATATTCTCAGCCGTGTTAGTTAGATAGGGGAAATAACTCAAAACGGCTAAGCTGAACATTAAATTGTATACGACTTTATAATGGATGCTTTTTAAAAATCATATTCACCGCAAGCAACGCTGTAAAGCCACTAAGACACAAGATGTTACTGGGTGTGAAAGAACTAGAAAACAGAAAAAAATTATGAAGGATCGGGAACAATAGAAGAGTAATTAAGAAGACAATAGATAACGATTGACATTGCATTTAAACTTTTGAAGATCAAAGTTGACTGGAAAGCATGGAGCCAGAAGAGACTTCCACAAAGGATAAGTGCCAGAAAAGAAACTGTTATCATGGAACTCACGGTTACATATACCCAATCCAACTCCAAACTGGTGAAACCTTTTTGCCAATGTAGTACTGCTCTTAAATACATAAAGTGTAAGTACCATAGCGAAGAGCTCATCCGAAGAATTTTTATGAAAGTATTTATAGAAAAGTCACAGAGAAGCAACATTACGTCAGAGGGAAAGTGACTGAAGCCTAGACGCCAATTCAGGACCAATAATATTGCTGATTCTCCTTTGAATTTTATCAAGAATCTCTAAATAAATAGCAGGAGCACTGGATCAAATAAGGCAGCCATATTCTAAGCTTGCGCGAATGGTAGACGTATAGATAAGTATGATAGATTCTGCAGAGAAAAATTGTCTTGCACGACAGATAGAACCAAATTTCTTAGCAGATGACCTTGAATTTGATTCATGTCAACTGAGAATGTTACCCCGAGAAAGCACAACGGCTCACTCTCTTGGAGTTTAGCATCAGCCATGCTGATAGAAGGCAGAAAGGGGTCTCTCATATGATTGACAGAGAGTAGCCCAGTTTTAGAGGCGTTAAAATTAAGAAGCTATTCTTTAACCCAGATAACAACAGACTGTGGGTCGTTTGTGAGATCAGCCGCTAATTTGACCTGAACGAACTGATCAGGCTTAATCTCAACAGAGGTGTAAATTGTTGTTTCATCAGTTTAAATAGAAAGTCGAAATGGTCGTTAATAAAAACTAAAATAAAGTGGGACTAAGGATAGAGCCCTGGGGGACACCTACATTAATACTTAATGATCTAGAAGAGTGGCCATTCAGGACAAGTCCTATTTCACGATTTGATAAGAAAGACACAATCAGTTCAAAAATTCGCCCGTAGACACCATAACTTTGCAACTTGTGGAGTAGACCCGAATGCTAAACCCTGTCGGATGCTTTCGAGATGTCCAAAGGAACAGTCCGAGCTTCACTATTATTATCTAAAGCTTTGTAGGCACTTTCTGCAATAATCGTCATTACATCAGCAGTTGACCTAAAGAAACGGAATCCATATTTCTTATTTGAAAGAAGGCCTGCGTTGT